AGATTCAGTTGCAGCAAGTCTAGACACTTTGCTCTAGACTGCGGTTGTCTTTTGTTGATACTCAGCTTCTGGCACAGGATCAAGAACGTTAGAAGTGCTGTCTGACTCGTCTGTATCCACGGACCGAAATTAGAACAGGTTATGGAGGAAGTTGATGATGATTAAGTTCAAGCTGTTCGGACCTTGGTGTTACTTTTCTGAACATCTGCTTCCCGACTGCTGTCTCTGATGGTCGCGAATCGAGAATAACAGTATATCTTTCTCGTGAATCTGTATGTCGTTCATATGCTCTACGGTACACCGAGAATGAAGGAAGAAAAAGGGAATGCCGGCACTAGCCGTATACGAAAAATGCACCCCTGTCGTGAGGGAAATTCTCGCAATGAGATGGATGCTACAGCAGTCCTCATCAAAGAAATGGACCTGCATGAAATACATTGAATCACCGGTGGCGAACAGACGTCAGCTTTGAAAGTTTCTGCAACAGATGCACTGCGTGGTGTGGCCTGACTTGTTAAAATCAACAGATAAGCTAAAGCGGGCTATGCATCAAATGGTGACCTTAGCCAATGAGTTCCTGATTTCTATCCGCTGGCAGGAGGCCAGCCATCGTACGACGATCCAGGAAGACGGTTCGGGAAACCTCGAAGCACATCGCATGATCGACGCAGAGTCTGAAGCAGTTTCTGCAGGACGGCCAATGCCTCTGCTGACCGTCATTGAGTGATTCGGCGGAGGCGGGAAAAGTACGATGGAGTCTGCTTTGCTCTTGGCTTGTCAGGGTGTCTTCAACGGTAGGGGACACGTGACCGTTTCAACGACTTATGCCAAGAACGTAATGTGCAATATCTCAGTATTAGACAGACGATTCGCCAGTGGACTGCCTGTCCGACCATATTCTGGCCGAACGCCGGTCGACAACGGCGACCAGCGCATATATCGACGTCCTGGGTACATTGGCACATTAGTCGTTTTTCGGCCACAAGCCGGCACGGGATGCGACCGCGGTTTAAAGTGATCCAAAATCGATTCTTGACGTGTTCGGCATTTTTGATGAATGGCAGCTATCTGTGAATGAACGCAGGAACGTACGCGTATCATGCTGGAGATCTTTAGTACTGGAATGACTGTTTGCCTGTCGAAGATTAACAGTATTTCACAGGACATCAACCATGACTCAGTTCTTACCCGCTTAGGTATCATTTTAGTTGCCAAACTGGTGCCTCAGATGCGGAATTTCAGAACCAGCCATCGTCATGGGCCACTGCATACGTGTTCGAAGGCTGAGCAGGATTCC